CAGGTGGTCCAGTAGTTGCCCTACGCCCCGTTTGGAAACTATGGCAAACACATCGTCCACGTATCTCAACCAGTATCTAGGTCTAATTGGCACACAGTTCAACGCTTTTTCCTCGAAATTCTCCATAAATATATTGGCCACAACTGGCGCTATGGGTGAGCCCATTGCTGATGTCAACGTTAACAACGTTGTCAACGTTAATGTCAACAACATCAACAATGACTCATCAATATTGAGCTCGTCGACATCGTCGCCGCCGGCGCACGCAATGGCAACTGCACCCCCGGTGCCCCCCGCCCCCTCAAGCCGCGCCCTTCGAGCGCTGGCCCGCAGTGCGAGGCGCGACGCGAACGCGACACATACTTAACTCTCGCCCTGAAGAAAGACCCCCGCAGGGTCTGAAACTGGTCGGTGCCGTCACCGGAAAAACAAAAGCATACGTGAGTAAGCCGTAAATAATTAATTATAAAATGTCTCACGAAAGTTTAAATAATTTAATTGATTATTCGAATTGTTTATTATTATTTTATGTTTATTATCTTGCCAAAAAGCCTATGCAACTTATAAGCAGGTATTTTTTTATCACTTTGATGCTATCCATATTATGTACATATTTTTATTACAGTTTTGAAATAAAATGTTGCTTTTTCATTTCATTTTTTTATTTGTTCTTCATCATAATGTCTTTGTTGAACTTTTAAACGTAGATAATAAGTCCTTGCTTATAAACTCAAGTTCAAGAAACTATATAATGGTATTTTAGAGGTATATATTGGCTTAATTTAAATGTCATGTATGGAAAAAAAGGTAAAAAAAAACAATCTGGAACATTCATAGAATGTTTATTTCAATTGACTCAATGAGCAATCCTGCAAACAATTCATTTATATCATTTTTCCGTCTGATCATTTTGATTGTAAAAATATTCCCATATAAGGTAATCAAATATTTTTACTATCCACAATAATCAGCCGTTTAAATTGTTGAGTTAATAACTATATTTTATAGTACGATGGCCACAATAATACACTGGCAAATTATATACAAAAAAAGAATATCACAAAATGAGTAAAGTAAAAATACATTAAAAGATATTTTATCGTAATTTCATTTCACTGTAAAACATTTTGACTAGGGATAATATTTACAAACATTCTGTGTTCCATCAAATAGTGCGTTCAAAGTAGTATTTCAATAATTGTAAAATAATTTTCGTTAAAATTTTGATATACTACTGAGTCTACAGTTTGATTCTATGGCACTATTTTATTTAAAAATAAAATAGGCATCTTATAACAAGCGCCTGAAAAGAAAATGTTATAAAGCTAAGAAGGCAGTGATCAGTATATTTTATAAGTTAATCCCTACAGCATATAATGCAAAATTAAAATAAATTTAAAAAATAAAATCGTAGTATATCGGACGACGTGTTTAACTATAGGAGTTTTCATATTAATTAGCAGGGGTGATCTCTCAACGTTTGACTTGAGTGTTTGTTTGACCATTTATTCTTGTACAAGTAGACGGCAAGTGCGATAGATAGAACAGCCAGGAAAGTGCAGCCGCCGATTGCTATTTGAATCACTCCTAGTCCAGTGGATGCTTCTATTAAATCGCTGTTTACTTTACTGACATCTCTGGTATTTCTCGTCCTAGGTTTGGTACGTGTAAACTCGAAATTATCTGAAAAATTAAAGAGTATAAATATAAAATTAACAATTCGGTACGTAGCAATTCTCATCGATTATAACACTCACCAATATCTAACAGCGGTTCGTCGTAGTAATCCAAAGTTTTCTCTGCCAGTCTACTTGTCCGTGCAGATTTTATCTCATTATCCGCGGGGAAAGGTGGTAAATACGTGGATGGTGGATTGGTGCTGCTTGGAGCGAATGGTTGCGGACACTTGGGGTCTTTAGATCCCGGATAACAGGAGCTGGGTGTTGAGCTAGGCTGTGGGCATCTTGGGTCGTTACTTCCTGGATAGCAATTAGGAGCGTTTTGAGTGGTGGTTGGTAAAACAATTGTTGATGTTGAAGACTGAGGGCAGTTAGGATTATTGGAACCCGGGTAGCAAATAGGTTTAGAGGTAGATGATTGAGGACATCTAGGATTATTGCTACCAGGATAACAGTAAGGTGGTATTGAAGTTGTTGGTTTAGGACAACGTGGGTCGCTGCTACCGGGGTAACAGTTTGGTGGAGCAGGTGTAGTAGGTTTAGGACAACGCGGGTCTGAGCTTCCTGGGTAACAGTTTGGAGGTGCCGGAGTTGTAGGCTTGGGACAACGCGGGTCTGTGCTTCCTGGGTAACAGTTAGGTCTTGCAGGTGTCGTTGGTTTAGGACAACGGGGGTCTATGCTTCCCGGGTAACAGTTTAGAGGTGCGGTAGTTGTCGGTTTTGGGCAACGCGGGTCTCTGCTTCCTGGGTAACAGTTTGGAGGCGCGGTTGTTGTAGGTTTGGGACAACGCGGGTCTGCGCTTTCTGGGTAACATTTTGGTGGGGCAGGTGTCGTTGCTTTAGGACATCGCGGGTCTGTGCTTCCTGGGTAACAATTTGGGGGCGCGGGTGTTGTTGGTTTCGGACACCGTGCATCTGTCGATCCAGCGTAACATTTTAATTCTGGAGTCGTAGGTGGCAAATACGTCGGAGGATTTATTGTAGTAGGTCGTGAAGGTTGTGGACAATTAGGGTCGGGAGAACCTGGATAACATACAGGTTTAGGGGAAGACGTCTGGGGACATCTTGGATCTCTACTTCCTGGGTAACAGTTTGGAGGTGCAGGAGTTGTGGGTTTAGGACAACGAGGATCTGAGCTATCTGGGTAACAGTTTGGAGGCGCGGGTGTTGTTGGTTTAGGACAACGCGGGTCTGTGCTTCCTAAGTTACAGTTTGGAGGTGCTGGAGTTGTAGGTTTGGGGCAACGTGGGTCTGTGCTTCCTGGGTAACAGTTTGGAAGTGCAGGCGTTGAGGGTGTGGGACAACGTGGGTCTGTGCTTCCTGGGTAGCATTTAATTTGCGGTCTGACTGTCGGGCATTGCGGATCAGGTGACCCTGGATAACATTGCTTTTGAGGTCTTATTGTCGTTGAAATCTCTTTTATTACGCCGTCACAACTCGAATCGCAGTTTTTCGTACAGAGCTGAAAAGTAAAGAAATTTTAGTTCTTGATATTGAAAAAAAACGCATGAGGCATCTTATCAATATTACTTAAAAAAATTACGAATTGGTAGGCACGCCCGCTGCAATCCTACGACTACACAGAAGACTGAGGTGAAGTGAAAGTAAATCCTTTTTTCGCCCGAAAAGTATGCCAAAGTGTGCCAAATAAGAAAGAATGAAATAGATAAAGGCATAGGAGTGAAGTTTATGTACAGCACTCTTTGTTTTGGCGAATTCAAGTGGCCGCTTGCTTGTTTCCAAAGAAATAAAGTCTATGTGCTTTAATTTGTTACTTAAGGAGTTTAGATTTGTTACTTTCACTTAAAAGTTCAAAAGGCAAATGCTTTTAGAAGGCATAAATCTTTTCTTATTAAGACAGCAAGCATCTACCCATTCTTAGTTTGCCACTCGTATGTTACATACATCTAATAAAACGTGAATTTACACTTATAAACGTTTTTAACTCAATAATTATAGGGGTTTTCTACGAATTAGTATAAAAATATCATTGGAAACTTACATAATATAGAGTAAATCATTAATAATTCTAGTTAAGGCTTAAAATATATAATATAAAATATAAAAATTAAATATAACACACCTCTACGTTACATGTTAAATACACTTGATCCGTTTCAGGGAATCTGAAAGCGCTCACTTTGCTATATGCGATTAAAGTCGCTCCACTTTTGCCCGTGTTTCTTGATTTTTGCCATTGGTCGATAAGCTTCTTTTTCCTGAAAGATTATATAAATAAATATTTCCATTACGAATAAATTATGTCTACAATTGTACGTGACTTATTAGAATGTATTTCCGAAACTTCGTTCGCGTGGGATTTAAAAAAAAACAAAAGTAAGTCGCCTATGTGTTCGTCCAGGCTATCCTCTATATCTATACTAACTTTCATCGAAATTCGTTTAGCCGTTTAGGCTACAAACTCTATCAAACATCCATCCATCTAAACTTTCACATTTATAATATTAGTATGAAGTATGATTTGCTAGAAAACGACATTCATATGTACTGTTATAGATATTTTATTAATGAGTCTTTATTTATTTAATAATTGATTTAGTTATGCTATTACTTACTTAGGGCATCCTTGTTTGTCAGTCAGTTGGATCCTATTCGTCTTGGGACTGTCGTAATTATCATTGTCATAAGCCCAGCAATCATGAATTTTTAGGTTAAATTGATTTCTCTGATCTTTCAAGTATACCAAAATAGTAAGATATTCGCCGATTTTTATTGAACTTTCAAAAGGAGTTGTCTGGAATTAAAAGATATAACTTAATTTCTTAAAACGTAGCAATTATTGTTCTTATGTGAAATTATTGTTCAAGCGCCAATAGTCTAATTGGGGAACGGACTATCAATCTGCGGTCGAGGGTTCGAATCCCGCCATTCGACTATTGTCGTGAATCATATCTTCGCACAAGCTTAGAGCTTACTTGGAGTCGATAAAGGAAACAATAGTAAATTAACAAAAATCTACTAATATGTTGTAATAAAAAAAATCGTAAGATAAAAGATATCAGTTGAGGCCGTAAAAAGAATTTATTGCATATTCGATATCCATCACCAGTATGTGAACAACTTACATTAGGAAAGACTCCCTTTTGAATGTCCATCCAGCATTCAACGCCGCTTCCGAGCCCTTCTACAGCAACAACGTCCAACATGTCCACCATGAAGGGCTTTAACTTCAGTACGTGGCCTTGTTCCTCCTTTGCCCCTTCGGCTGACACTTCGAAAGTTGTTCTTGCGCATGATATCTTGCAATGAAACATAATGAATTTACTTAAAAACAGTAAAATGTTTACTACGCGACATCAAATTAGATGCCCATCATTAGATGAAACATGCATAGTTTAAATAATAATTAAGTGGAGACCGAGAAATTGCGAATTCTGATATTTAGTCAGGTATGGCTGATATTAGTCGGAGATTTAACATCTCAAAGTTTATTTATGAATTAGAATCTGAAAAGATTGTTTGATACTCGACTTACGATAGCTTTGTATTATAACAGCGTTCACTTAGCATTTAATGTCCAATTATCTTGATTTTATATTATATAAAACATCTCACAAGTTGTGGGACACTTAGCGCACACCTTCGTCTAAACTATAGTACAACTGTCCCGCTTTGATTCCTATGAGCTTGTTTGCACACTACTGGATTTTTAGTTGTGTAAATAAACAGTTGAATGGGCTGCGAAACAATCGACAAACGCACAACAGTTGTGCGATGGTTTGGGTAAAGTTGCGCTCGCTTTTAGTGTCAAGATATGACCTATGGACACAGAGTAACTGCAGATTCCTTTCTAAAAGAAGTGCGCCTGCTTCTTGAAGAATCATAATGATGTGATGTTAGCTCCCTAACTATCTCCATAGTACGAAGTAAAGTAGTATATTTCTGTAGTACCTTTCTAGCTAAGTCAGTAGCTCCTTGAACGAAGTCATCGGCTTGGAAGACGAGGACATTATCGATGGTGCCACAAGCGTTGCAGAGAGGACGAGAGCCGCAACCGTCCAGGGGTACTCTGAACTCGTAGCGCGACTCGCTGCCTCCCAACGACACATATCTATAACAAGGGATATTGTGAAATGTACAAGGAATATTGAGTTACTGCATATGGTATATCAGTGACATTATCAGTAAAGGTCTACTAGGACATAAATTTCCGAAAGACGTAATCAATTCAGATACAAGGCATTTTAAATTTTATTCGCATTGATTATGAGGATGTAAGGGTTCCTAACTTTTGTGACCATCAACCCTATAGTTATTTTACTTTGCTATCCTCACCTTACTTCTACGTAATTGTAGTTACCGATGGACCTACAACTTTTGTTGCTCATGTTAGTATTAAAGTAAAGAATTTAAATTGTTCCTCCTTTTTAGAAGTATAAATGACATTCACTCACTTGCATCTGGGATCGTTGAGGAATCCTTTACTGTATATAATACCGTCGAATACATCAGCGAATTCGACGGTCACTTGTATGAAATCTTCGGTACATTGCACATCGATGTCGGGTGACAGGGGTGAGTCCGCCTGTCTGGAACCCCGCATAAAGTGCACAGCAGTGTCATCTCCGCTCTCGTAGAATGGTGACAAGGAATTGTCACCAGAGAGCTCCAAGTTCAGTTCCGCAGCGGTCAAGGTCTGGATGCCATCTGAAACAGCTGTAGCAAGCGACAGCTACAGCGAGACAACATAATTTTTTTTATCTTCTTTACCTTTACCTTTTTCATCACTTTCAAAATACTACCTTATGGTCTGTTTATTGTTCTATCATTTTAGTTTAAAACTCATTATTAATTTTATCTTTATCTAATATTGTACAGAGAAAAGATTTGTATTTTTGGACTTTTGGATTTTTGTTTGTATTGAAATAACTCAAAAACTATTAGGACGATTTCAAAATTCTTTCATCATTAAAAAAACAACGTTATCAGTAAATAACATGGGCTGTGTATTTTTTAATTTCATGTGGGCGAAGTCGCGAGCAACATCCATTCAAAAAAAAATTGTACGATCAAAACTGATTTTACTGGTTTACATGATTGTGAATAATTTGATTATCATTGTTTCTGAAAGTTACATTAAACAAGATATAAAAAAAATGCTTGAGAAATATCTTACAAAAACTCTCAACAGTTATGAGTAGTATGATTAACGAGAAGGTGAACCTTTTCGAGATCCTCAAAAGATTACCTAATTACTTTTTATGTATGACTTAATCGTTTTGTAATTACGCAATTTGTAAACGGCTAATTAACGTTGGTGATTAATTCGTTTTATTTGAGACATTATGGCGTGTTACGTGTAGTATACACATTGTAACAATGTTGGACCTAAAGAGTTTTTTAGTGGAGTAGAGACTCCGCTATATGTGCGACAACAAAAACAATTGAATAACAGAATGTGCTTTTTGTTAATGACCTTATCTACATATTTGTAATGTATTTTATGGATTGGGACTAACTTTGATTGACTACCACATTCAAAGCCGGTCGTTGGTGGTAAGGGCATTTAATCTAGTTTGGCAATAACAAATTTGGCGCTTTAGGCTTCACATAAATATGAGATTCACCGTATGTAAACTTTTTTTTATAATATAAGGTGGCAAACGAGCAAGCGGCCTGAATCCCCCGAAATGAAAAGCGACCGCTGTCCATAAACATGCGCAATTGCAGATGCGTTGCCTACCCTTCATTGACGAAGGAGAAGACGCACTTAAAAAGGACATTTCCCCTTCCTATGCGTCTTCGCCATCGTCAAATCCACCTTTCCTTCCCTTGCCTTCCTCTTAAGAAAAGGGTGGAAAGGGAAAGGGACCAAAATTAGGTCTCCGGTTCTTCTGTTACTAGGTTTGATCTTGAAGTAAACCGCGCCTTTCCTGATTTACTTATAAGATTGATTGCCTTACCCAGCTCCTATCTATATATCTGAACATTGTTCGTGTACACAATGCGAATATTTTCCATTCCCACGCAATTTTTCGCGTTATTACAAACCATTGAGTCTTGTGAAAAATTCAAGCCAATATTGTTCTACCGGTTGTCTATTGAGGCTGCCGAATATTATAGCTTACTAGTTTTCGGCCGCGACTCCGTTCGCGTGGAATTAAAAAAAAATCAAAACTGAGTAACCTAAGTGTTCTTACAGACTATGCTCTACATCTATGCCAAATTTCATCGAAATCTATTCAGCTGTTTAGGGTACACACTCTAACAAACATCCATCCATCCATCTATATAAACTTTCGCATTTATTATATTTAAAAGTATGGAGTATGATAACTTACTGAGTTCCTCTTATATGTGTATAGTTTCTACAATTAGTAATTTTGAATTTTAATGGTTCATAGGTTTTGCTAGTTTGGTACATTCTATAAAATTCTCTTTTTTACATCAATGTAATCGGCTCAATTTTAATACTTTTGATGTTTGTAATGATTACTTTAATTTTAAAATAAAAATTACAGTGTCAAAGATTAAGATATTAAGTTCATTTTTTAATCTTAAAATGAGATTTTTTTCATAATCAATAACACCAGTACAATATTCCACTAACTTTATCGATTTATGAAACAAAAAAAACAACAAGTGTTTCATAACTTTTAAGCTTGGATAAAAAGACGTATCATTCAAAGACAACACAAATCAGATAATTTCTGCTGATTTATCTTTTTTAGACGGTGTTATTTGCTTGATTCGCGCGGCGTTTCACAATATATTATGCCATAGTTTTGTAATGGTTACAGCCTCAGTGTAATATTTCTTACTCGCTTGATCTTAATGTGAGCTCTGATGCCGAATGAAGTTTTTGTCTAATTAAGTTTGACTTGTAACTTAATTAGTTACATCATGAAAATTGTTTATTACTTTCTTGATTCGCAATCAAATCAACATAAAACTATTAGAGATATTACATTGTGATGTTGACATTTAGAATATACTAGCCGTTGCTTGCGACTTCGTACGCGTGACATTAAATAATAATATAATAAACATAGTCTATGTTACTCACTGCTAACGTAGCTTTTTAATGGTAAAGGAATTTTTGAAATCGGCCCAGAAATTTTTAAGTTATTTCAATAAATACAAAAATCCAAAAACACAAATCTTTCCTCTTTATAATATTAGTATAGAAAAAGATCAGAGTGTTCTATGAACTTTTGTCCTGTCTATGTGTGGTTTACTTTCGAAATCTGGACATAATAGTAAATTGTTAACTAAGTGTTACTTCTTACCTAATAAATTCGAAAGTTTACTTGCATGTTTGTTAGAGATTATCGTCGAAACTACGGAACGGATCTCGTTGAAATTTGGAACAGATGTAGATTATAGTAAAACACATAGACTTGCTTTTGTTAGTCGTAGACGAAATCTCATAGTGTCATAAAAAAGATACATACCTGCACGAATGCAATCAATGTCGCTATGTGCATGACAGCCGCTTCATGGGGCCCTGGAGATAAACAAAACACAAAATTAGTTAAAACACAAAATTCACAAAGTTTACTAAGTTCGTCATCTTCTCAAGGAAAAAACATTTTTTTTATTACATAAGGTGGCAAACGAGCAAGCGGTCACTAGAATCCGCCAAAATGGCGAAGCGACCGCTGCCCATAGACATTCGTATTTGCAGATGCGTTGCCTACCCTTATACGACGGAGGAGGAGACAAACATAAAGAGGATATTTCCCCTTCCTATGCATCCCTCCACCGTCAAATCCACTTCCCCTTCCCAATCTCTCCTTATAAGAAAAGGGTGGTAAAGAGAAAGGGACTTAAATTAGGCCTCCGGCACCACACTCATCAAACGAAACACAGAATTGCTTCCATTTCACGCCTGTCTTCTGTGTGGTCGTGGTATTACACCGGGCGTGCCGGTCCATTCATGCTAAGATGTTAAAGCGGTCACTACCACTGTAAGGTACATTCAATTTTAAAAAATAACATAGATTTTTTTTAGAACTACCCGTAAATTCAAATTATTTCTTAATTATTATTGTTATTTGAATCAATTTACTTTACGTAATACAAAGTTACTAAATGATCGTTAAGATTTTCGGTTAACAGGTCAGTTTCAAAATTATCGGATACAGAGCTATTATTTTTGGCATTCAAGCTAACATTATTCCCGTTGATTTCTAATATAAATCATTTAAATTACACAAAATTACTATACTATGTTAATAACGATTGTGTAGTTATCGTAGATTCTTTTGACATATAAGTTTTAGTAAAAGCGTATAGTAATAAAGCTATAATGCATACAACAGATAACTGTTGTAAGGTGTTTTAATGAATTTTGCACTAAAACAATGAGTTAGTTTTTTAATTAAAGCCGATGTAAATAAATATTAAATTCTTTATAACTACTTATGTCATATATATTTATCTATTATTTCTATACTTAATATAATAAAGCGTAAACACACACTTCTTTGTTGCCTAAGATGTCAGCAATCGCAGCATATTTTTAAATAATTATTTTTTTAATAAAAAGCCCTACACTTGCGTCACGCTTTAGGCTATACATTTTCACGCCGTTAAACTTAGGGGTACATATTTTGGATAAACCCTAATGTGGGAAAGAGACTATAAGTTGCTGCCAACATAAAGGAAAGGTTGCCATGGTTTGACATCATGTCATGTCATTTTGACATTTGCAATTATTTGACAAATGTGAATAATAAAATGATTTTTTTATAATTTTGTGCGGATGAAGTCGCATGGGAACAGCTTGTATAAAATATTGGTTATTTCTTTAGTATGTTTTAAGTAGTTATGTCTTGCTACATAGAATGGGCATACCTTGAAAGTACACAGGTGATAAATTGTCTATTTAGAAAGAACGCAACAGTATGCCGCATATTAGTGTCAAGTGTCATTCATATTTTGACACAAGTGAAGCGACCGATTGTGAAATGGAAATTGTTACAAATTGTAAAATAAATTATGACCTTTCTGATGTTTGTTTGCAGATCTGCGAGGTCAATCACATTTGTACGTTGAATTCGAATCTACGACCAACAGGTTACAAGTCAAGCGTTTAACCTCTAAACCACTGATGCTTTAAAACTCTACATTTGAAACATACTATTTCGTAATTAAGAGTGTAAACATCTTGGTGATTTTAAGCGTATTTTTTTTTAATTCCAGGATTATGCAATTTCATTTCGTCACGATAAATACAAGTACATCTTTTGTACAAAAAACTAAATAGACTTGCATAAAGAAACAAAGTCAGAAACATTGATATTGTTGTATAAAAATGTGGCAAAAAGGTTAACTGCTTTTCATTATAGATACAACACTTATAATAATAACTATTAAAACAACAGCTACTGAATATTAATTATCGATTACCTTACACGCTAACCGAATAGTATCGATTACAAAATCGATTTATTACAAGCGTGAAAGGTGTAAAATCAAAGATGTTAAACATTGATTAACCGTAATGGTGGGTCACGTATTGTCTAATTGCGAGCCTCTAACGTTCGTCTCCACTTCGTGAGGTCATCCGCGGACCTTTGCGTCGAAATATTTCCGCGTAATATTTCAACACTAGTGACTCTTAGTTCGAGGCTAGTGGAATTGTTGCCAAATAATCTCTAATGCATAGAGTAATCTATAATCTTCTTACGTTATTTAACAATTGGGAGTGTTTTCCCTCATAGAAATAAAATTTATAATTTATTTCATTGTCTTCAGTAATCTAACTAATATTATAAATGTGAAAGTTTAGATGGATGGATGGATTTTTGTTAGAGTTTGTAGCCTAAACAGCTGAACGGATTTCGGTGAAATTTGGTACAGATATAGAGGATAGTCTGGAAGAAAACATAGGTTACTCACTTTTGTTTTTCTTTTAATTCCACGCGGACGGAGTCGCGGGCGAAAGCTAGTAATGTCTAATTCTAATTTTCAATGAAGTGGAAAAGTGCAATTGAATAGCATATTGTATTGGTTAGTATTGTATGAGCATGTTATGAAGAGGGATCAATCACATGTAGGAGAATTTTATTAACCAGGGTGAACGTACGCCGGTAGAAGTATACTTAGAAGTAGGCCGCCGGATTGCTTGAAAGGTGACATGATCAAGGGAGTGATGACTGAGATGACGGATAGAGTTATTTGGAAGAAAATGGCGCGCCGATCCTACGAGAGTAGGATAAAGTAGGGAAGCGCAATTGTAAAAATAAAACATATTTATAGTCTATTAAATATCCAAACATAGGCTTTTAAAGCGTGCGCCATCTTTGACTAAACTGTTCTTTGACTAAACTATTGCAAAACAGTTTAGTCCTCGCTTTCCTATTAGCTTATATAGAGGTACACACTACTCGATTTTTAGTTGTGCAACTAAACAGTTGAATGGGCGAAACAATCGACAATCGCACAACAGCTGTACGATAGCTATACAAATTGGTGAACTAATAGTTAATAAATTATTTAATATAGTAAGGAAGTCTTTTAAATTAAGATTGAGTTCACGACAGGTCGAATATAATTTACATAATAGCGGTTTGATTCGCCGTTTACAAGTGGTAGATGTTTCAAGGTTAGTTAGTTCGAATTTAATACTTCTATTAATGTTAAACGTTATTTTTAACAGTTATTTTGTTTGAAACATATTTTATTGGCAATAAGATGTCTTGTATTAGTATAACCTTTGGCTGTTTATGACTGTACCAAAAATATTTGAATATTAAATTAATTTATTGTTCTTTGAAATGATATAAGTTGTTTACGAATTAAAAATTTGCAAGTTAACTTAATTTTAATTTTAGAGCGTCGGTGGCTCAGTGGTTTAAACACTTGACTTGTAATCTACAGGTCTTGGGTTCGAATCCCGCCATGTACCAATGTGATTTTCGATTTTTTTGAATTTTCATATGTACATAATTTACCCGACGTTCTTACAGTGAAGGGAAACATCGTGATGCAACCTGCACATATCGGCAAGAAATTCAAAGATATGTGTGAAGTCAACCAACCCGCACTTGGCCAGCGTGGTTAACTATGGCCTAGTCACCCCTTACTTGGGGTAGGCTCCAAGCCCCTCGGTGGGGACGTATAGTGAGCTGGTGATGATGAAATTAACTTAATTATTAATTAAGAATAAAACACATACCAAATCGACTTGTCTCTTCACAAGAATTTGATATGCTTTCATTGTATTAACTTACGCATTATAAAACATACGATTATTCGTATGATAATCATAATCAATGTTTATGTTCTGAAATCGATTGTTCAATGGAATCGATGTCATCGAATTTCCGATCGCAATGTGGGCCACGGTCAGGCTGAGATCACACGCCACCACACCTCGGATCAGGGTTGATAATCGATTTAATATTTATAACAGTCGATAATACTATAATATTCTGTTTGAGAAGTTATGAATACGAGTGAATAATTAAATTCTTAAATCGACATTCATCTTACTGATATTTTACACATTAGTATTTTAATGTTAGGTTAGAAAATGACGTCAGATACTAACGTCTTTTTTTTACTCATTTCTTGATAAACAAAAATCTGAGTTGCCTGTGTTTAGTTTTTAATTTTCTTTTCCATCTATATCTTAAATAGTGTATCTATCTACTTATATTTGATAGTGAAAATATATTAATTCTGTTGAATTTTAAAATATATTGTATAGTGGTGCCACAGCCCTGTGAACAGGTAGAACTGGCCTTATATGGGGATCGATTTATCTCTCACATATCCAAAAAGAGTTATGTAATATTTCTGTCAAACGTAATCGTATCTCCAACATTAGTCGTAGACAGTCTGTCTGTTGAGATCAATGGTCTATGGTTTTCATTACTTATGTAACTCGCACATTTGCTTTTATTACAAATCGATTACTAATTTTGTAAATCAGATATCTACATATATCTTACTAATATTACATTTGAGAAAGTTTAGATGATGTTTGACTTCGTGGCCTTATCTGCTAAACAGGTCTCGATGCAATTTGGCATAGATGTAGAGGATATTCTGGAAAATCATATTGCCTACTTAGTTTTTTTTAATTCAGCACGGACCGCGCCGCGCGATAATTAGAAGTAAATATCGCTAATGAAAATAATTCAGTTAATTGTGGTTAAAAAAAATTTCGTGTATTATTAACGTAAGTAAAATGTAATAAATCAAGAGTGCGCACACGTTGGACTAAATTATCGCACAACTGTTTAGTCGCGCTTTGATTCCTATTAAATGGAGGTGCACATTGCTCGGTTTTTAGTTATGCAACTAAACAGTTGAATTGGCTGCAAAACAATCGCACAACAGTTAGGCGAACGTTTAGACAAAGATATGCGCCCGGTCTAAACAATACAGATGTTTTGAATAATATTATATTAACTCAAAAAGCAAAGGCCAACAAAGGTTAAGATAGGCCAATAGTTTGTCAGTCCTGGTAGACCCTGAAGTAACGTGTATAAA